GAGGTAGGCCTTCTCGTGGACAGAGTCGAGAAGCGCCCCGATGAACCGGATCTGCTGTGTCGGCGCCAGGACGGACTTCTCCCGGTTGAGGACCAGACCTAGGGACTGGAGGAGAGACAAGACCATGGAGATGTGCGTTTGCAATTTGCGGTAAGTTTCTGCCACAATAAGCCAGTCATCAATATAGGGGTAGACCGTGATTCCCCTGGTTCTGAGGTGGGCCATTACAACGGCCATACACTTAGTAAAAACCCTAGGGGCCGTAGAGAGACCAAACGGGAGGACGTTAAAACAGTAGGACTGGCCGTCAATTCTAAAGGCCAGAAATCTTCGGTGGTGTGGGGCGATGGAAATATGGAAATACGCGTCCTTGAGGTCAACGGTGGCGAACCAGGCGCGTTTCGGGAGAAGCGGGGTTATAGAAGCAAGAGTCACCATTCTAAACCTTTTCGGTTTGATGTGTTTATTAAGCTCTCGCAAATCCAGAATGGGACGCAGCCCACCACCTTTCTTAATCACCAAAAAGTAACGAGAGTAGAAACAAAAAGGAACAGAAGCAGAGTCAACTATGGAAACAGCCCCCTTATCTAGTAACATTCGAATTTCTTGCATGAGTTGCATGGAAAAGGGGGTGTCGCGGAACAGACCAACCCTGGGGGTATCATCAAACTCTATAGAGTAACCTTGCGAAACAATAGTTAATACCCAACGATCTGAGGTGATCTTCTCCCACTCAGAATAGAACCCAGAGAGACGGTCCGTGAAAAAGGGCAACGGCCCTGAAGGAGTCTCTTGAAACTCAGCATTTAGACAAAGAGGGAAGGGTATTTTAGGTTGTGGGGTCACGGAGGAGCACGCAACAGGCGTTGCCCCTGGTGCAGGATTGGGTAGCGAGGCGTCAAAGACGCTTCTTTGAGGCGCCAGGAGCTTTAGGCTTTCCTTGGAAGGGTTGTGCCCTTGGTTTCTGGGAATAGGGGGTTCGCCTACCCCCTTGGAATCTAGGCTGGCCCCCAAATCTGCTTCTATAGGGTGTAGAATAGGAGTTACCAAAAGGCCTCCGGTAGGAGGGGGTGCCCGATTGCCACCTCCCCTTTTGTTGGGGGTAAGGCTGCCATGTGTAACCGAACTTAGATGCAGACTGCCGGACATCTTGTTTCTGTTTAAGTCGGTCATCAGTGTTGGGATTGAACAGCCCCTCCTCGTGGAAGGGGAGGTCCTCAGCGAGGGCCTTCCCCTCCTCCGAGAGATTCGCGGCTCGCAACCAAGCGTGTCGCCTGATGGAGGTGGCGGTGGCGAACAAGTTGCCAGAGGCCTCCGCCATATGCTTCGCGAAGTCCTTCTGGAGCTTGGCGAGGGCCAGGGCTTCGGTTTGCAGGCCTCTTGTGAAACGCTGGTCCTCGGGTGGTAGGACCTCTATGTAGGGTAGCAAACGGTTCCAGAGGAGCGTTTGGTACCCTGACATATAGGTCGCGTAGTGGGCCATACGCGTAAAAAGGCCCGCAGAGAGGTAGGCCTTTCTCCCTAATGTGTCCAGCTTCCTGCCCTCCCTGTCAGGGGGGGCAGTCTGGGAAGGTTTAGATCGTTTCGATTTGGATACCTCGGCAACCACCGTGTTGGCCTTGGGGGGAGTTAAAACCCATTTAGCAGTAGCCATATCTATCTTGTACATAGTGTCTAGGCGTCTAGGCACGGCAGGTACTGACGAAGGGGGCATGTCAACAATTTTTGCCAGCTTAAGCAGGTATGGGAGGTGAGGGAGGGTGGAGGACACAACCACGTTTTGTTCCTCTGAGGGGAACATGGGGTCCTCCACGTGCTCCGGGGGTTTGGGAGCAGGGATCTCCAAAGCCCTAATCATACGTTCCACTAAAGCAGCGAACTTATTAAAGTCCGCGGGCAAAACATTGTCCTCACCACCAGATGGCTGGGGAGCCTCATGTGGTTCAGCGTCCGAATCAGAGTCTGGTGGGTCCCCATCGTCATGAGTCACTGGGTCAGGCATGTCCGTATTGGGGACCATCAGTGGAGTCAAAGCGGCCTGCGGTGCGGGTGGAGCCCCGGCAGAGGCCGCAGCAGGTTGACAAACTATGGCCAGCGCGCCAGCAGGTCTAGGGCCAGTCAATATGTCCAGTTCTGCAGGGCGAGGGTCCGTCGCGGATGCTTGATTTGGGTTAGAGTCCAAGGCCCTGCCTGAAGGGGCGGGGTCCGTAATAGGTACAGGGGCCACAAGTCTGGCAGGAGTTGTGGCAAGCATCCCAGTCATCAGCGCCGCAGGCAGGTGCTGGGGTGCCGCTGGGAGGGGAGGAGGGATCCCAAGGTGTTGAGGTATGGGCGCATAAACCAGCTGCCCCGTAGGGCCCAGCTGCCAGCACCCAGGTGGTGGCGCAGGGGCCGGTGCATAAGCCCCTCGGCGACGGGATGAAGAGCGTGAAAATCTGGAGCTGCGTCGATGCCTTCTACGCGGAGGGGAGGAGGAGGAGGAGGAAGAGGAGGACGAAGACGAAGAGCCCGCTCTGCTCCTGGTATGGGAGCGACGTCTGCGGTGTCGAGATCCCTCACTCCTCCGGGACGGGGATCGAGATCGCCGCCTGCGCCTGCTTGGATGGCGTGTAGATTGACTGAATCTGCCCGATCTCGCCTCGGGCGAAGGAGGGTTAGCGGGCGGGCGCAGTGTCGCAGGAGGGTCCGCAGGCGGGGGCAGCATGCTCCCCGCCGGCACCGCAAGGCTCCATGCCGGTATCGCCCCCATCGCTGTGCTCGCGGCAGGCTCCGGGACGCTCGGGCCCTGGGCGGGCGGGGCTCCAGTGGCCGCCTGGGTGGGCGGGGTGTCCCTGCCGGCTTCCTGTGGGGGCGGAGCCTCCCGTTGGTCAGGGCTCGTGGTTGGGTTAGTACAGCCCTGGATCCCAGCCGGGATCGAAGTCACCTCCGGCCTAGGAGAGAGGGACGTAGGCATCAGCGGCGTCCCTCCCAAGGCCGGGGGGAGGCTCGTCTCGGGAGACAGGAGCAGGGGCATCGGTGAGCGCGAAGCGTCCTCGATTCCCTGCACGACGGCGGGTGCCGCAACGGGAGAACCTGCAGTGGCGTCGGCGGCCGGCAGGGGTCGCAGGAAGCCGCTCACAGTTCTCCCAGCAAGAGGCGGGGGAGCGGGGACCTTGTCCGCGGTTCCCGCTCTTTTAGCAGCCGTTTTCTTCGGCAGAAGAGGGCGGCCGCCATCTTGAATGGCCTTCTCCTTAGGCTTTTTCGCCTTCTTCTTGGCCCGAGGATCATCTTTGAGGGAAAAAGGTAAGATGGGGCCGGGAGAGGGTCCCGAAAGTCCAGGGGAGGGCGAAGGGAGAAGGGCCTTTTCGTATAAGGCAGCTTTAAGTCGCACCTCCCGGTTCTTCCTAGTTTGGGCCGTAAAGGCCAAACAAACGGCACAGGATTGAGCCAGGTGACCCTCGCCGAGACAGGCCAAGCATAAGGAGTGGCCGTCCGTGTCAGGGAAGGTATTGGGGCAAGAGGGGTTAGAACACCTCTTGAAGGAGGTAGTAGACATGACGGATCGTCAACAAAACGGGCCGAGTCAAGGGCTGGAGAAGTTCGAATGGTCGAGTAATCCAAGTCCAAAACCAGCGGGGAAAAAACAGTCCAGAACGTGATCCAATACCTTCGTCAATTAAACAAGCCAAGCCAGTCAGTAGGAGATAATCAGTCCGATAGGAGTCAAAGAGTCAATACAACAAGGGTTCCCAAGCTATTCCGTGGAGCGCGGAAAAGAGAACTGACGGCTGGCCCCTCCCACGGGCTACTTATACTCGAGGCGAGGGGGGTGGGGCCAGCTGGAGCCAAGTGTATTTTTTCTTCATTCTAGAAGGTTCCGAGAGCTATTGCGCAAGCGCTGAGATATCATATGTGCGATTCACAGGGACTACGACAGGAAATCAGTAGAGTAAAATAATAAATGTAATAATAAAAATAATGCATAGATTAGAATAAGAAATGTAATACAAATAATAATAGAGTAAAGTAATGTAAATGTGATAATAATAATAATTAGTAGTAATAGTACATTTTAGTGATTAGTCCTTAGGCCATATCACAATTTCAAGATTTCCCCCCCCCCCTCCACCCCAGGCAGGAAGCAGCCAGGCTTTGAAGCTGCAAGGCTATTCAATGTTAATCAAGGTGGCCCCCCTCCGCAAATAACCTGCTTCTCCGTGTTTTTAATCAGTCTTTAATTAGTTTTTTAAAATCATTTTCTTGCACATTGTCATTCCGACTATGTTTATTGTAATCTCATATGTTAATGTATTCATATATTTTTATGTAATTACGATGTTGGATTTATTTTGCTGTAATTTGTTGTTCGGGCTCGGCCTCATGTAAGCCACCCCGAGTCCCTGTTGGGGGAGATGGTGGCGGGGTATAAATAAAGTTTATTATTATTATTAATATTACTTAATGTCAGGGGAAAACCTTATTATAATATTATTATCATTATCATTATTATTATTATTATATTATTATTATTATTATTACTTAATGTCAGGGGAAACCTTTACCTTATTATAATAATATAAATATTATATATACACACAATATATTATTATTATTATCATTATTATTATTACTTAATGTCAGGGGAAAACCTTATTATAATATTATTATCATTATTATTATTATATTATTATTATTACTTAATGTCAGGGGAAACCTTTACCTTATTATAATAATATAAATATTATATATACACACAATATATATTATTATTATTATTATTATTATTATTATTATTATCATTATTATTATTACTTAATTTCAGGGGAAAACCTTTCCCTTATTATAATATTATAAATATTATATGTACACACAATATATTATATTATTATTATTTATTATTATATTATATTATTATTATTATTATTACTTAATGTCAGGGGAAAACCTTTACCTTATTATAATATTATAAATATTATATGTACACACAATATATTATATTATTATTATTTATTATTATATATTATTATTATTATTATTATTATTACTTAATGTCAGGGGAAAACCTTTCCCTTATTATAATATTATAAATATTATATGTACACACAATATATTATATTATATTCACTAAACCCCATTTTCCAGTTTCCAACAGACCTCACAACCTGAGGATGCTTGCCACAGATGCAGGCGAAATGTCAGGAGAGAGTGCTGCTAGAACCTCTTGAAAAACCTACAACAACCCAGTGATTCCAACCATGGAAGCCTTTGACAATACGAAGGAAGGAAAGCTTCTGCTGTCCGCCGTCCGTAGGTGGGGGAGTCCATCGGCGGCCCCCATTAGCTCCTCTCCCCGCCGGCCCAATGGCGGGAGGCGGGGAGGAGGTTCTCCCTCTGGGCGTACTCGATGACGGCCATGTAGCAGAAGTAGTACTGCTCGGGGGTCTGGATGCTGAAGGCGCGCTGCGTCCTCATCCGCACCACCGTCTGGAAGACGTTCAGCGTCCCCACGTCGTGCAGCTGCGAGAGGCAGATGTCCAGCGCGCAGAACGTTCCTGGAGGGAGGAAAACGGCACCGGCGTTAGATGAGGAGGGCGACCACGATCCATGGCAGGAGCAGCCAGAAGGCGTGGAGGTTGCTAAGACGGTTGAGCAATGACCCTCACAAACTAATACCCATGCCAACATAAAGGCAGATCAGATAGCACACCAACTCTTGAAGAATGGGAAACCCAACCTTGCCACCAAAGTAGGAAAGAAACCAATAGCCAGACAACCAGAGATTGAGAACAACAACCTCCATGAACCCTTTACATCTATTGAATTGGACATGGCTCTCAACAAATGTAAGAATGGCAAAGCAGCTGGCCTGGATGATCTACGGATGGAACAAATCAAGAACTTTGGTCCAAAAGCAAGGCGCTGGCTGCTGGAGCTGATGAACAACTGCACTGCATCCTGTCAGATCCCCAAAATCTGGAGGAAAGCAAGAGTCATCGCCATCTTGAAGCCAGGCAAAGACCGTAAAGACCCAAAAAGCTACAGACCAATCTCCCTGTTGTGCCACCTCTACAAAGTTCTGGAGAGACATATTTTGCATAGAATCATAGAATCAAAGAGTTGGAAGAGACCTCATGGGCCATCCAGTCCAACCCCATCCTGCCAAGAAGCAGGAATATTGCATTCAAATCACCCCTGACAGATGGCCATCCAGCCTCTGTTTAAAAGCTTCCAAAGAAGGAGCCTCCACCACACTCCGGGGCAGAGAGTTCCACTGCTGAACAGCTCTCACAGTCAGGAAGTTCTTCCTCATGTTCAGATGGAATCTCCTCTCTTGTAGTTTGAAGCCATTGTTCCATTGAGTCCTAGTCTCCAGGGAAGCAGAAAACAAGCTTGCTCCCTCCTCCCTGTGGCTTCCTCTCACATATTTATACATGGCTATCCTATCTCCTCTCAGCCTTCTCTTCTTCAGGCTAAACATGCCCAGCTCCTTAAGCCGCTCCTCATAGGGCTTGTTCTCCAGACCCTTGATCATTTTAGTCGCCCTCCTCTGGACACATTCCAGCTTGTCAATATCTCTCTTGAATTGTGGTGCCCAGAATTGGACACAATATTCCAGGTGTGGTCTAACCAAAGCAGAATAGAGGGGTAGCATGACTTCCCTAGATCTAGACACTATGCTCCTCTTGATGCAGGCCAAAATCCCATTGGCTTTTTTTGCCGCCACATCACATTGTTGGCTCATGTTTTGCTGCATTGAGAAAAATAGACCCCTGTCTGATTCCACAGCAAGCTGGCTTCAGGAAAGGCAAAAGCTGCACATCGCAAGTGCTGAACCTGACTCAGCACATAGAAGATGGCTTTGAAAGGCGGCAGATCACAGGAGCTGTCTTCATAGACCTGTCAGCAGCCTATGATACTGTGAACCACCGCCTCCTCCTGAGAAAAATGTATAATATCACAAAGGATGACCACTTCACCCGCCTCATAGGAAACCTGCTACAAAACAGGAGCTTTTTTGTTGAGTTCTAGGGCCAGAGAAGCAGATGGTGGAAACAGAAGAACGGCCTGCCTCAGGGGAGCGTGCTTCCTCCATCCATGTTCAACATCTACACAAATGACCAGCCACTGCCAGAAGGGACAGAGAGTTTCATCTATGCTGATGATTGGGTGCAGAAATTTCTTGCAATGGGGTTTATTTATTTTTTGGGAGGGGGGAAGATAGCAATGCTTACCTGTCCGGCCGATCCCGGCGCTGCAATGCACCACGATGGGTGGACCACCCGGATGCCCTTTGTATCGTGGTCCCAGGGCGCTGACCGCCACTCTCTGCTGGTGCTTGACGGCCCCCAGGAAGTCAATGAGCGTCGCTGCCGAAGAAGGGACCCCGTAGTCAGGCCAACTCAAGAACTGGAAGTGGGTCACCAGGCGCCGCTCACGACTCTGGAGCGAGGAAGAACCCGACAAGAGGAGGCATTATTTATCTATTTACGACATTTATACGCCGCCCTTATTAGTATTATATTGTATTACATTATAATATTATAAATATTATATGTATATACAATATGTTATATTTTATTTAATACTGATACACTATTTATATGTTATATTATATTATTACCATAATACAATATCAGTATTAAATATTGCTATATTGCTATAAATATTGCTGTCTACAGACGTCAACATCGACACTGAAATACAACACCGCCTGAGCTCTGTGAGCGCAGCATTTTTCCGAAAGAAGCAGAGAGTGTTTGAGGACGGGACATCCGTAGGGATACCAAGGTGCTTGCTTATAAAGCTATTGTCCTCCCAACCCTGCTATATGCCTGTGAAACGTGGACTGTCTACAGACGTCAACATCGACACTGAAATACAACACTGCCTGAGCTCTGCGAGCGCAGCATTTTTCCGAATGAAGCAGAGAGTGTTTGAGGACGGGACATCCGTAGGGAGGCCAAGGTGCTTGTTTATCAAGCTATTGTCCTCCCAACCCTGCTATATGCCTGTGAAACATGGACTGTCTACAGACGTCAACATTGACACTGAAATACAACTCTGCGAGTGCAGCATTTTTCCGAATGAAGCAGAGAGTGTTTGAGGACCGGGACATTCATAGGGAGACCAAGATGCTTGTTTGTAAAGCTGATGTCCTCCCAACCCTGCTATATGCCTGCAGAACGTGGATTGTCTACAGACGTCAACATCGACACTGAAATACAACACCGCCTGAGCTCTGCGAGCGCAGCATTTTTCCGAATGAAGCAGAGAGTGTTTGAGGACGGGACATCCGTAGGGATACCAAGGTGCTTGTTTATCAAGCTATTGTCCTCCCAACCCTGCTATATGCCTGCGAAATGTGGACTGTCTACAGACGTCACATGCAACTCCTGGGATTCCATCAGCGTTGCCTTCAGAAAATCCTGCAAATCTCTTGGGAAGACAGGCTGACAAACGTCAGCATGCTGGAAGAAGGAAAGACCACGAGCATTGAAGCGATGGTCCTCCAACATCAACTCCGCTGGACCGGCCACATTGTCTGGATGCCTGACCACCGTCTCCCAAAGCAGTTGCTCTACTCCGAACTCAAGAACGGAAAACGGAATGTTGTTGGGCAGGAAAACAGATTTAAAGATGGGCTCAAAGCCAACCTTAAAAACTGTGGCATAGACACTGAGAACTGGGAAGCCCTGGTCCTTGAGTGCTCCAGCTGGAGGTCAGCTGTGACCAGCAGTGCTGCAGAATTTGAAGAGGCACGAATGGAGGGTGAAAGAGAGAAACGTGTCAAGAGGAAGGCGCATCAAGCCAACCCAGACCGAGACCGCCTTCCACTTGGAAACCAATGCCCTCACTGTGGGAGAAGATGCAGGTCAAGAATAGGGCTGCACAGCCACCTACGAACCCACCCCCAGGTCACAGAACTTGGAGGACCATCATCCTCGGACTACGAGGGATCGCCTAAGTATTGTACTATACCATTATATTGTAATATTATACCATTATATTGTAATATTATACCATTATATTGTAATATTATTAGTAATATTATATTATTGTATTATAATATTATTGTATTGTATTGTAATATTATACCATTATATTGTAATATTATTTTATATTACATGTAATATAAAATATATAATTATAATATATTAGTAGTAGTAGTAGTAGTATATTGTATTACATTGTAATATTATAAATATTACATGTATATACAATATATTACATTACATTATTAGCATACGATATCAGTATTAAATATTAATATATTGTACTATACCATTATATTGTAATATTATTAATATTACATGTAATATAAAATATATAATTATAATATATTCTTATTTGTAGTATTGTTACATTGTATTACATTATAATATTATAAATATTATATGTACGGGTGCAGCTGGCGTACAAGTTTTAACTGCAAATGCTCCCCTGGTCACCACCAAAACTTGGTGTTTCAGGCTCAGCGATGAGTCCAGGATCACACCCAAGCTGTGAACCTGCATCTTCAGGGGGCGTGTCACCCCAAATGTCAAAATTATCCCCCCAACCCCACCAGTATTTAAATTGAGAAACACTGGCCTAGGAACTTCTAGGTCCTCCAGTATGACTCCATGGCCGACTACCTTCATGGCCGACTACCTCCATGGCCGACTACCTTCATGGCCGACTACCTCCATGGCCAATTACCCCCATGGCCAACTACCTCCACGGCCAACTACCCCCACGGCCAACTACCCCCATGGCCAACTACCTCCACGGCCAACTACCTCCACGGCCAACTACCCCCATGGTCAACTACCCCCATGGCCAACTACCTCCACGGCCAACTACCTCCATGGCCAACTACCCCCACGGCCAACTACCTCCACGGCCTACTACCTCCACGGCCAACTACCCCCACGGCCAACTACCCCCACGGCCAACTACCTCCACGGCCAACTACCTCCACGGCCAACTACCTCCACGGCCAACTACCTCCACGGCCAACTACCCCCACGGCCAACTACCTCCACGGCCAACTACCTCCACGGCCAACTACCCCCACGGCCAACTACCCCCACGGCCAACTACCTCCACGGCCAACTACCTCCACGGCCAACTACCTCCACGGCCAACTACCCCCACGGCCAACTACCCCCACGGCCAACTACCCCCACGGCCAACTACCCCCACGGCCAACTACCTCCACAGCCAACTACCTCCACGGACAACTACCTCCACGGTCAACTATCTCCATGGCCAACTACCTCCAAGGCCAACTACCTCCAAGGCCAACTACTTCCATGGCCAACTACCCCCATGACCAACTACCCCCATGGCCAACCTCCATGGCCAACTACCTCCATGGCCAACTACCTCCATGCTCAATTACCTCCATGGCCAACTACCTCCATGGCCAACTACCTCCACAGTCAACTACCTCCACGGCCAACTACCTCCACGGTCAACTACCCCCATGGTTAACTACCTCCATGGCCAACTATCTCAAGGTTCTCCTCCAGACAAGGAGGAAAACCAGATTTCTAGAGGTCCATCCAATGCAATTCCATGGCCATCTTTCAGCAGAATTTGACCACAGAGTTGTAATGGAAGATCTAGAAATTGAAATTATTGTTATTGTTGTTGTTGTCCTAAACTGGCTATAAATCAGTCACAGTATCTGCTCTCACCTCGCAGTGGTAAATCTCCAAAACGGTCTTCTTGTAATGGTTGAGGTTCTCCACTCCCAAATTGGTGACGGTCAGCGTCCCATAGCAGCACTGAAAGTCCTTCTCCAAGGGCCAGTACTGGCCACACTTCCTCCGGCCACCTTCTTCGAGTCTACAGCACACCAAAGAGGCAATGAGAAGGGAATCGCCATTTCCGCATATCAGGGAAGACAAAGCTAAAGCCAAGGCCACCACGGCGAAGCTCTCAAGCAAAGTCCTTCCAGAAAGGAAGAGGGCAATGATCAAAGACCCAAGCCATGTGCCTTCACTCTCACCTTGTGGTCATGACAATCACCAAGACGTTCTGCTCCCACACCATGCGCCAGAAGTCACTGTAGGTGTTTTCTAGTGGCCCTTAGAGAGAAAACAACATCATCTTTGCAAGGAGGTTCTAGGTATCCCAATGGCATAGGTTCTAGATATCCTAATGGGACACTACAGAGGTGACTATGAAGGGACAATGTGGTCATGCTTACCTTGGGTTACAATGTAAGCATTCCAACAGGGGATACTTAGTTGACAACATCATCTTTGCAGGGAGGTTCTATTTATCCCAATGGCATAGGTTCTAGATTTCCTAATGGGACACTACAGAGGTGACTATGAAGGGACAATGTGGCCGTGCTTACCTTGGGTTCCAATGTAAGCGTTCCCAGAGGGGAGACTTAGTTGACAGCATCATCTTTGCAGGGAGGGTCTAGGTATCCCAATGGCATAAGTACTAAATATCCCAATAGGACACTACAAAGGTGACTATGAAGGGGCAATGTACTCTTGCTTACCTTGGGTTACAATGTAAGCATTCCAACAGGGGATACTTAGTTGATAGCATCATCTTTGCAGGGAGGGTCTAGGTATCCCAATGGCATAGGTTCTAGATTTCCTAATGGGACACTACAGAGGTGACTATGAAGGGACAATGTGGTCGTGCTTACCTTGGGTTCCAATGTAAGCGTTCCAAGAGGGGAGACTTAGTTGACAGCATCATCTTTGCAGGGAGGGTCTAGGTATCCCAATGGTAAAGGTTCTAAATATCCCAATAGGACACTACAGAGATGACTATGAAGGGGCAATATGCTCGTGCTTACCTTGGGTTCCAAAGTAAGCATTCCAACAGGGGATACTTAGTTGATAGCATCATCTTTGCAGGGAGGGTCTAGGTATCCCAATGGCATAGGTTCTAAATATCCCAATAGGACACTACAGAGGTGACTATGAAGAGACAATGTGGTCGTGCTTACCTTGGGTTCCAATGTAAGCGTTCCAACAGGGGATACTTAGTTGATAGCATCATCTTTGCAGGGAGGTTCTAGGTATCCCAATGGCATAAGTTCTAAATATCCCAATAGGACACTACAGAGGTGACTATGAAGAGACAATGTGGTTGTGCTTACCTTGGGTTCCAATGTAAGCGTTTCTCTGTTTGTAGCCATCCATGAAACTGGCGTTGATGTAGTCGGTCAACTGGAGGAACACAATGGAAAATGATTAAGACGAACCTGGCCTACTATTTTTTCTTCCATCACCTGAGGACACGGGATTGATCTGGAGAACCTAGAAATGCCAGAAGAAACCCTCTATCTCAGCATGGCTGAGTCCTTACATGAGGTTCTAGAGATCTAGACATACCTAGAACAGTGTTCTCTCTCGAGATTTCCAAGTCCTCCAGTGCATTGCTATGGTCAACTTCCAGAAATTGTGCTGAAGGATATAGAAGTGCACCTATCAAAGTATTATTTTGTCATCTGGGAGTTTGGGATTTTGTCATTTGGGAGTTGTAGTTGCTGGGATTTATAGTTCACTTACAATCAAAGAGCATTCTGAACTCCACCAATGATGGAATTGAATCAAACTTAGCACATGGAACTCCCATGACCAACTGAAAATCCTGGAAGGGTTTGGTGGGCACTGACCTTGAGTTTTGGAGTTGTGGTTCTCCTACATCCAGAGAGCACTGTGGACTCAAACAACAATGGATCTGACCAAACTTGCCACAAATACTCAATATGCCCAAATGTGAAAACTGGTGGAGTTGGGGTAAAATAGACCTTGACATTTGGGAGTTGTAGTTGCTGAGATTTATAGTTCACCTACAATCAAAGTGCATTTTGAACCCCACCAATGATGGAATTGAACCAGTCTTGACACAATGACCAAGATAAAATACTGGAAGAGTTTGTGGGCACTGACCTTGAGTTTGGGAGTTGTAGTTCACCTACATCCAGAGAGCACTGTGGACTCAAACAATGATGAATCTAGACCAAGCTTGGCACAAATACTCAATACACCCAAATGTGAAGACTGGAGGAGTTTGGAGAAAATAAACCTTGACGTTTGGGAATTGTAGTTGTTGGGATTTATAGTTCACCTACAATCAAAGAGCATTTTGAACCCTATCAAAGATGGAATTGAACCAAACTTGGCACACAGAACTCCCATGATGAACAGAAAATACTGGAAGGCTTTGGTGGGCACTGTCCTTGAGTTTTGGGCCAAACTTACCACACAGAACCTCTATATTCAACAGAAAATACTGTGCTTTCTGGTGGTCTTTGGTGACCCCTCTGACACCCCCGTCATGACCCCCCCAGGGGTCCCGTCCCCCAAATTGAGAAACGCTGATGTAGGCCGTATTCCTTCTAGGTGTTTCTAGGTCCCCCAATGCAATTCTATCTAATCAACTTCCATAAAATCCTTCCAAAGGATCTGCCCCATAGCCTTGAAACCGAAGCAGTTGAAGGTGACGTCAAACTGCATTAATTCTCCAGTGCAGATGAACCTACACCTTGGCATGCTTACCTCCTGGTAGCTGAACTGTTTGGACAACTTCACCCTGGTTTGGTCAAGGCAGGGGACGTCGCCGTATCGGTTCTTCTCCTGGTTAAAGGGAGCTCTGCAAAGAAGGAATCGGGCCAAATTAAGTCCAGATCTTGCCCCCACCATTCAGAATCCCACCCTGCAAAATGTCCCAGATTTCTAGCACTGTAGCATTTTGGCATCAACTAGCATTTGAGCGTTGGAGTATGACTCAGGAGAAGTTGTTTTTCTCAGAACGATCTATACACATCATAAAAGTATTATAACTTTGACTTGATTATAAGCCAAGAGGGGTTTTTCAGCCTTAAAAAAAAAAAGGGGGGGGGTTAAAAACTCTGCTTATGCTTGAGTATATAGAATACATTTCTTAAGTGTAGCTCCATATATATATATACTAGCCATACCCTGCCACGCGTTGCTGTGCCCAGTCTGTGTATATGTGTTTTGTGTGTGTATATATATGTTTATGTGTGTGTGTGTGTATATATATATATGTATTTGTGTTTATATGTGTACATCCATATTGTGGATATGTGTGTGCTTGTCTATATGCATATATGTGTGTATGTATGTGTATATGTATATGTGTGCAGGTGTATATGTATCTGTGTATATTTGTGTGTGCTTGCGTATATCTATATCTATATCTATATCTATATACGCAGACAAAACCCCAGCGGAACAGACTTAAAAATACAAAAATACACCATATATACATATATACACATACACTCATATACATATACACATGCACACATTCATACACACACGTGTATGTGTGTTTGTGTATATATGTGTGCATGAATGTGTATGTGTGTATGTATATGTATGTGTGTATATGTGTACATTTGTGTCTTTGTGCATCCACATATACAGACGTTTGTGTAAAAATGTGTGCATGTGTATATGTATATATGTATATATGGTGTATTTTTTGCATTTTTAAGTCTGTTCCGTTGGGGTTTTGTGTGTGTGTGTGTTTGTGCATGTGTGTGTGTATGTGTGTATCTGTATATGTATATGAGTGTATGTGTATATATGGTGTATTTTTTGTGTTTTTAAGTCTGTTCCGCTGAGGTTTTGTGTGTATGCGTTTGTGCATAGATATATCCACACACGCAAACACACACACACACATGTGTGTATGAATGTGTGCCTGTGTATATGTATATGAGTGTATGTGTATATATGTATATATGGTGCATTTTTTGCGTTTTTAAGTCTGTTCCACTGGGATTTTGTGTGTGTGTTTGTGCATAGATACACACACACACACACACACACACACACACACGGGTGTGTATGAATGTGTGCATGTGTATATGTATATGAGTGTATGTGTATTTATGTATATATGGTGTATTTTTTGCATTTTTAAGTCTGTTCCGCTGGGGTTTTGTGTGTGTGTGTGTTCAATACACTTGTTGTGTATTGTGTGTTTTGTGTTCAAATTTGGTGTCAATTTGTCCAGTGGTTTTTGAGTTATGCTAATCTCACAAACGACCATTACATTTTTATTTATATAGATATGTAGTTGTGTGTGTGTGTGTGTGTGTGTGTGTGTGTGTGTGTGTATATATATATATATATATATATATATATATATATAATACATATGTGTATGTATATGGCTGGTTGGTTCAGCTTTGGATAGCATAGTGAAGGTTTACCACTCCTATGATGTTTCCTTTGCTGTCTGTGCCCCTGTTTGGAAGTTTCCGCCTCACTATCAGTCTTGGTGATAACGCTATGTATCACGATTTTTGTTCCTGGGTTATCAATGCCATTTCCTAATGAGTTCTATCATAAAAACATGGGAAAAGTTTATTACATTCATAGACTCATAGAATCAAAGAGTTGGAAGAGACCTCATGGGCCATCCAGTCCAACCCCATTCTGCCAAGAAGCAGGAATATTGCATTCAAATCACCCCTGACAGATGGCCATCCAGCCTCTGTCTAAAAGCTTCCAAAGAAAGAGCCTCCACCACACTCCGGGGCAGAGAGTTCCACTGCTGAACGGCTCTCACAGTCAGGAAGTTCTTCCTCATGTTCAGATGGAATCTCCTTTCTTGTAGTTTGAAGCCATTGTTCCATCGTGTCTTCAGGGAAGCAGGAAAAAAAGCTTGCTCCCTCCTCCCTGTGGCTTCCTCTCACATATTTATACATGGCTATCATATCTCCTCTCAGCCTTCTCTTCTTCAGGCTAAACATGCCCAGCTCCTTAAGCCACTCCTCATAGGGCTTGTTCTCCAGACCCTTGATCATTTTAGTCGCCCTCCTCTAGACACATTCCAGCTTGTCAATATCTCTCTTGAATTGTGGTGCCAGAATTGGACACAATATTCCAGGTGTGGTCTAACCAAAGCAGAATAGAGGGGTAGCATTACTTCCCTAGATCTAGACACTATGCTCCTATTGATGCAGGCCAAAATCCCATTGGCTTTTTTTGCCGCCACATCACATTGTTGGCTCATGTTTAACTTCTTGTCCACGAGGACTCCAAGATCTTTTTCACACGTACTGCTCTCGAGCCAGGCATTGTCCCCCATTCTGTATCTTTGCATTTCGTTTTTCCTGCCTAAGTGGAGTATCTTGCATTTGTCACTGTTGAACTTCATTTTGTTAGTTTTGGCCCATCATCTCTCTAATCTGTCAAGATCGTTTTGAATTTGCACAAGCTTTGTTTCTGCGGGAGGGACATCCTGCTATAGCACACCTCCACTAATTCAGCCACAAAAACAACGAAGTTCCTGGATTAGAACAACTCCTTTCAAAGTAAGGACTGCACAACTAAACAGGAGCAGAAATAATAATAATAATAATAATAATAATAATAATAATAATAATAATAATAATGTAATTGAATTTTGAGCCAGGACTCACAAGGAGCAGGCGAAGGTGCCTGCGGGGCTCCTCCTGCGGATGCCGTCGTACTCCTCGTAGAGCCCGCGCTTCTGCTTCTGCTCGACGTGCTCCAGCACCTCCTGCACCGTCATCCCCCTGGGCCCGGGGACGTGGACCGAGCCGTTGTCCCGGGGGGAGACCAAGGGCACCAGGATCAGCTCGTCCAGGGGGTCCGGGTGGCCGTTCTGCTGCGGGAGGAACCGGCCATTCCAGCTGACAGGATCCAGCTTGAGGGATCCGCCGAGATACTCCGGGAGACACTCCTGCGGGAGGTGCTCCTTCAGCTCGGACATCTTCACCATCTGGACCTGTAGGAAAAATATAGAGAGATGTTGCACTCCAGGACAGGAAAAGCCCTCTGACTTTAAACACCACACCGTTGGATGGGAAACAATCCTTTTACTGAAAGCAGTAAAGTAAAAAAACACTTTAAAGAAATAGGTAAATCCAATTAGGTAGGAAGATAAGCAGGAGCAAAGTAGTCCCCTCTGACTTTAAACACCACACCGTTAGATGGGAAACAATCCTTTTACTGAAAGCAGTGAAGTAAAAAAAAACCTTAAAGAAATAGGTAAATCCAATTAGGTAGGAAGATAAGCAGTGAAGTAAAAAACACTTTAAAGAAATAGGTAAATCCAATTAGGTAGGAAGATAAGCAGGAGCAAAGTAGTCCCCTCTGACTTTAAACACCACACCGTTAGATGGGAAACCATCCTTTTACTGAAAGCCGTAAAGTAAAAAACACTTTAAAGAAATAGGTAAATCCAATTAGGTAGGAAGATAAGCAGGAGCAAAGTAGTCCAGGGTAAATAGTCCAGCAAAGTCCATAAAAACAAAGTCAAAACCCAAAACTTCCCAAATAAAATGCAAGAAATCAGGAAAAACAAATCCAAGGCATGAATATAAAAGCATAGAATCCAAGAATCAAAACCATGAAACAAAGGCACTTAAAAATGAATTTTCCAAGCAAAGCTTCCATGAAACAAGGATGAGATCTTGACTTGATTCCAAATGATGCTTCATCTGACTACATATCCTGTACTTGGGACCTTTATCTCCTCGTTAGCTATGTCTCTAGCGCTCAGAAATGTTAGTGGCATCAGCCGCACAGCAAGGCAAGGAACACGATCATCACAGCCACCTTTAGGCTATAAACTACTTTATTTACAGCTATACACAGTAGCACATCATAAAACTGCTTCCTCCATCCGGTAGCTACATCGCAAACACGCTGTTATCAGTACTAGTCCACACCTCCTGCATTCCAGAGTGACGTATGACGCACGACTCTGCATCCATTGCCCTATACACTTAGAATTATGACCTCTCTAGGAATGCCGATCCCTCCATGGTACAGTTAACTCTTTCCACACAGGAATACTCTCGGCACATAGTATTGCATTTTAAACATACATATATACTTTGAAATCTACATTACACATTTCAAACAGCTGCAACAAGAAATTGGTTTGGCTTTAGCTAAGAAGTTCTAATCTTTTTCTCTCGGAGCCTGATGTTCAGGCAGTGTTTCTTGTAGGTAAGAGCACGGTCCAGAGTGACTCCCAGGTATTTGGGTGCGCTGCAATGCTCCAGTGGGATTCCTTCCCAGGTCATCTTCAGAGCTCGGGGTGCTTGTCTGTTCTTAAGGTGAAAGGCACATGTCTGTGTTTTAGATGGGTTAGGGATCAGCTGGTTTTCCCAGTAAGAGCACCTAGAGCTTCGGAGAGCTTCTGTTCAACCATCTCAAAGCTCCCTGCTTGAGCGGTAATGGCACGATCATCAGCATAGATGAGACGCTAGTGAGTTGTTTATTGATGTTTACTGATGGTTATTGATGTTAATTGCTTACTGTATTATTGTGTTAATTGTCTTTTAAATGGCTGTACGATGTTTGCATTGAATTTCTGCCGCTACTTGTTGTTAACCGCTCTGAGTCGCCTAATGGCTGAGAAGAGCGGTATACAAATAAAGTAAGTAAGTAAGTAAATAAATAAATAAATAAATAAATAATAGATGAAACTCTCTGTCCCTTCTGGCAGTGGTTGGTCATTTGTGTAGATGTTGAACATGGATGGAGCAAGCACGCTTCCCTGAGGCAGCCTGTTCTTCTGTTTCCGCCATCTGCTTCTCTGGCCTTGGCACTCAACAAAAAAGCTCCTGTTTTGTAGCAGGTTTCCTATGAGGCGGGTGAAGTGATAGTCCTTTGTGAAGTGCCCCATAACCTTATTGAAAAGGTAAAAATGATGTCACATCCGTTTGACCAGGATTGAAAAATCAGCAGATTTATTTATTTATTTATTTTATTTGGAGCATTTATTAACCGCCATTCTCAGCCCACTCGGGCGACTCACGGCGGTGTACAGTACAAAAGGCAATTCACACAAAGACAAGTACAACAGCATATTAACCATACAACAATACAACAGTTAAAATTACACTAACTAATCCGCTTCGTCTCGTAATAGAATCGTGACCAATCTCGTATTCCTTGTACCATTCCAGTCGTCTTACCACATTACTATAGCACTTAATTAAATGCCCTCTCGAACAGCCACGTCTTGAGGCTTTTTCGAAGGACAAAAGAGAGGGCGCCTGCCTGATGTCTGTAGGGAGAGTGTTCCACAACCGGGGGGCCACCACTGAGAAGGCCCTCTCTCTCGTCCCCGCCAGGCGTGCCTGTGAGGCAGGCGGGATCGAGAGAAGGGCCTCCCCAGACGATCTCAAGGTCCTCGTGGGCTCATAGGCCAAGATGCGGTCTGAAAGGTATTTTGGGCCGGAACCGTTTAGGGCTTTGTAGGCCAACACCAGCACCTTAAATTGGGCCCGGTAGCAAATCGGCAGCCAGTGGAGCTGGGACAACAAGGGCGTTGTGTGCTCCCTGTATCCCGCTCCAGTTAGTAACATGGCTGCCGCACGCTGAACCAGCTGAAGCTTCCGGGCCGTTTCAAGGGCAGCCCCACGTAGAGAGCGTTGCAGTAGTCAAGCCGGGATGTGACCAGAGCGTGTACCACCGTGGCCAAGTCAGACTTCCCGAGATACGGGCGCAGCTGGCGCACGAGCCGAAGCTGTGCAAATGCTCCCCTGGTCACCGCTGAAACCTGGGGATCCAGGCTCAACGACGAATCCAGGGTCACACCCAAGCTGCGAACCTGCGCCTTCAAGGGGAGTGCGACCCCATCCAGCACAGGCTGTAACCCTATACCCTGTTCGGCCTTGCGACTGACCAGGAGTACCTCTGTCTTGTCTGGATTTAATTTCAGTTTGTTCGCCCTCATCCAGACCGTCACAGCGGCCAGGCAACGGTTCAGGACCTCGACAGCCTCCTTAGTAGCAGGTGGAAAGGAGTGACAGAGTTGGACATCATCTGCGTACAGATGACACCGCACCCCGAAACTCCGGATGATCTCCCAGCGGCTTCATGTAGATATGACCCAAAATGCAGACTGTGCAAGGAAGCTGATGAAACCATGCATCGTCTCCTCAGCTGTTGCAAGAAAATCACACAGACGGACTACAAACAGGCACAACTCTGTGGCCCAGATGATTCACTGGAACTTATGCCACAAGGACCACATGCCAGTAGGAAAGAACTGGTGGGGTCATAAACCTGTTTCACTTCCATTCCACACCAAAACCCACCAAACCGGACTTCAATCTCTCACCCTTTCCCGGAGTTTCTCCTTAAGCAAGAGGCTGATGATGGAGTAAGGCACCCGGAACCACATCGGAGCGCCCACGATGAAGACCTTCTTCAAGCGAGCTGGGAAGGCTCCCTGAGAAGAGACAAAAAAGGGATTTTGGAGACAAGGTAATGCAACATTAAAAATACGACCACAAGGTTCCCCACCTTGCCTGGAGCAAGGAGTCCTACTGGAGGACCTAGAGGTTCCTAGGCCAGTGTTTCTCAACTTGCCTAATGTTGGTTTGGCACAAATCTATGGAATTCTAAGAGATGTACCATATATACTCGAGTATAAGCCGACCCGGATATAGAATCATAGAATCAAAGAGTTGGAAGAGACCTCATGGGCCATCCAGTCCAACCCCATTCTGCCAAGAAGCAGGAATATTGCATTCAAAGCACCCCTGACAGATGGCCATCCAGCCTCTGTTTAAAAGCTTCCAAAGAAGGAGCCTCCACCACACTCAGGGGCAGAGAGTTCCACTGCTGAACGGCTCTCACAGTCAGGAAGTTCTTCCTCGTGTTCAGATGGAATCTTCTCTCTTGTAGTTTGAAGCCATTGTTCCGCGCCCTAGTCTCCAAGGAAGCAGAAAACAAGCTTGCTCCCTCCTCCCTGTGGCTTCCTCTCACATATTTATACATGGCTATCATATCTCCTTTCAGCTAAACATGCCCAACTCCTTAAGCCGCTCCTCATAGGGCTTGTTCTCCAGACCCTTGATCATTTGAGTCGCCCTCCTCTGGACACATTCCAGCTTGTCAATATCTCTCTTGAATTGTGGTGCCCAGAATTGGACACAATATTCCAGTAGTATAGCAGAATAAAGGGGTAGCATTACTTCCCTAGATCTAGACACTATGCTCCTATTGATGCAGGCCAAAATCCCATTGGCTTTTTTTGCCGCCACATCACATTGTTGGCTCATGTTCAACTTGTTGTCCACGAGGACTCCAAGATCTTTTTCACACGTACTGCTCTCGAGCCAGGCATTGTCCCCCATTCTGTATCTTTGCATTTCGTTTTTCTGCCTAAGTGGAGTATCTTGCATTTGTCCCTGTTGAACTTCATTTTGTTAGTTTTGGCCAATCTCTCTAATCTGTCAAGATCGTTTTGAATCCTGCTCCTGTCCTCTGGAGTATTGGCTCTCCCTCCCAATTTTGTGTCGTCTGCAAACTTGATGATCCTGCCTTCTAGCCCTTCATCTAGTCATTGATGAAGATCCTGAGCAGGACCGGGCCCAGGACGGAACCCTGCTAATGGCACTCCACTCGTCACTTCTTTCCAGGATGAAGAGGAAGCATTGGGGAGAATCACCCTCTGGGTTCGTCCATTTAACCCATTACTGATCCACCTCAGGAATTGGTTAAATGTGTGCCTAGCCCACATTGGACTAGTTTCCTTGCCAGAAGGTCAGGGGGGACCTTCTGGCAAGCCGAGGCACCTAATTTGACCACAAATAATTGGGAAAACGTATTGACTCCAGTACAAGCTGAGAGTGGGAAATGCAGCAGGCACGGGTACATTTCAAAATAAAAATAGATACCAATAAAATTACATTAATTGAGGCATCAATAGGTTCAATTTTTTTAATATTTACATAAAGCGGTAATTTAAGATAAGATTGTCCACCTCTGATTAAACCATTATTCTGACCTTCTTCAATGTAAATGTGCTTACGTATCCTTCCAATGATAACAAAGAGAGTAAAATAATAGAGGCAATAATACAAATAGAGTGAAATAATGGAAATGTAATAATAACAGTAATAATAGGGTGAAAGAATGGAAATGTAATAACAGTAATAATAGAGTAACATAATAAATTTAATAATAATAAGAGTAGAATAATGTAAGTGTAATAATAATAATAAATGGAGTAAAATAATAGATGTAATAATAATAGAGTAAAACAATAAATGTAATAATAATAATAATAATAAATGGAGTAAAATAATAAATATAATAATAATAGAGTAAAACAGTAAATGTAATAATAATAAATGGAGTAAAATAATAAATGTAATAATAATAATAGAGTATAATAATGTAAATGTAATAATAAGAGTAAAATAATGTAAGTGTAATAATAATAAATGGAGTAAAATAATAAATGTAATAATAATAAGAGTATAAGAATGTAATAATAGAGTAAAACAATAAATGTAATAATAATAATAATAAATGGAGTAAAATAATAAATGTAATAATAATAATAAATGGAGTATAATAATGTAAATGTAATAATAAGAGTAAAATAATGTAAGTGTAATAATAATAAATGGAGTAAAATAATAAATGTAATAATAATAATAAATGGAGTATAATAATGTAAATGTAATAATAAGAGTAAAATAATGTAAGTGTAATAATAATAAATGGAGTAAAATAATAAATGTAATAATAATAAGAGTATAAGAATGTAATAATAGAGTAAAACAATAAATGTAATAATAATAATAATAAATGGAGTAAAATAATAAATATAATAATAATAGAGTAAAACAGTAAATGTAATAATAATAAATGGAGTAAAATAATAAATGTAATAATAATAATAATAGAGTATAATAATGTAAATGTAATAATAAAAGTAAAATAATGTAAGTGTAATAATAATAATAAATGGAGTAATAATAAATGTAATAATAATAGAGTAAAACAGTAAATGCAATAATAATAAATGGAGTAAAATAATAGATGTAATGAAAATGGAGCATAATAGAATAAATGTAATAATAGAGTAAAACAATAAGTATAATAATAATAATAAATGGAGTAAAATAATAAATGTAATTATAATAGAGTAAAACAGTAAATGTAATAATAAAAATAATAAATGGAGTGAAATAATATATGTAACAATAATAATAGAGCATAATAATGTAAATGTAATAAAGAGAGTAAAATAATAAAAGTAATAATAACAGTAAAATGATAAGTGTAATAATAATAGAGTAAAATAATATATATATTATTAAAAATAAAGAGTAAAATAATAAATGTAATAATAATAATCAATGGAGTAAAATAATAAATGTAATAACAATAGAGTATAATAATGTAAATGTAATAATAGAGTAAAATAATAAATGTAATAATAATAATAGAGCATAATAATGTAAATGTAAGAGTAAAATAATAAAAGTAATAATAACAGTAAAATGATAAATGTAATAATAATAATAGAGTAAAACAATAGATATAATTAAAAATAATAGAGTAAAATAATAAATGTAATAATAAAAATAAATGGAGTAAATCAGTAAATGTAATAATAATAATAGTGTATAATAATGTAAATGTAATAATAGAGTAAAACAATAAATGTAATAACAAAGAAGTAAAATAATAAAAGTAATAATAAGAGTAAAATGATAAATGTAATAATAATAGAGTAAAACTATATATATAATTAAAAATAATAGAGTAAAATAATAAATATAATAATAATAATAAATGGAGTAAAATAATAAATATAATAATAATAAATGCAGTAAAATAATACATGTAATAATAATAATAGAGTAAAATAATGTAAATGTAGTAATAGAGTAAAATAATAAAAATAATAATAATAGAGTAAAATAATAATTGTAATTAAAAATAATAATAACAGAGTAAAATAATAAATAACTTGAGTATAAGCCTAAAACAAGGGCTGAAAAACTCAGCTTATTCCCAAATATATATGGTAATGCAGTTTGTCACCACTTGAACTGGCTTGGCACCAATCTATAGAATCCTAAGAGGTGTAGTTTGGCAGTCTCTGGTATTTATTTATCGTGTCATCAGCAACCATACCATTATATTACCATTCCAACAGAGCAAAACAAACACACAGATTAAAAAGAAAAAGAAAAACACACACACACACACACACATTTTGCAAACTTGGTAGTTGGTTAGATGTCCTTGGACCAGTATCTGGCCACTTGGAGTGCCTCCGGTGTTACTATAAGAAGGTCCTCCCTTGTGCATGTGGCAGGGCTCAGGTTGCATGGCAGCAGGTGATCTGTAGTTTGCTCTTCTCCACACTCGCATGTCGTGCACTCCACTTTGTGGCCCCATTTCTTAAGATTGGCTCTGCATCTCATGGTGCCAGAGCGCAGTCTGTCCAGTGCCTTCCAAGTCGCCCAGTCTTCTGTGTGCCCAGGGGGGAGTCTCTCATCTGGTATCACCCATGGATTGAGGTGCTGAGTTTGGGCCTGCCACTTTTGGACTCTCGCTTGCTGAGGTGTTCCAGCAAGTGTCTCTGTAGATCTAAGAAAACTATTTCTTGATTTAAGTCGTTGACGTGCTGGCTGATACCCAAACAAAGGATGAGCTGGAGATGTCTCTGCCTTGGTCCTTTCACTATTGGCTGCTACTTCCCGGCGGATGTCAGGTGGTGCGATACCGGCTAAACAGTGTAATTTCTCCAGTGGTGTAGGGCGCAGACACCTTGTGATAATATGGCATGTCTCATTAAGAGCCACATCCACTGTTTTAGTGTGGTGGGATGTGTTCCACACTAGGCATGCGTACTCAGCAGCAGAGTTGCACAGTGCAAGGGCAGATGTCTTCACTGTGTCTGGTTGTGATCCCCAGGTTGTGCCAGTCAGCTTTCGTATGATATTGTTCCTAGCACCCACTTTTTACTTGATGTTCAGGTAGTGCTTCTTGTAGGTAAGAGCACGGTCCAGAGTGACTCCCAGGTATTTGGGTGCGCTGCAATGCTCCAGTGGGATTCCTTCCCAGGTCATCCTCAGAGCTCGGGATGCTTGTCTGTTCTTAAGGTGAAAGGCACATGTCTGTGTTTTAGATGGATTAGGGATCAGCTGGGTTTCCCTGTAATAGGCAGTAAGAGCACCTAGAGCTTCGGAGAGCTTCTGTTCTGCCGTCTCAAAGCTCCCTGCTTGAGCGGTGATGGCACGATCATCGGCATAGATGAAGCTCTCTGTCCCTTCTGGCCGTGGCTGGTCATTTGTGTAGATGTTGAACATGGATGGAGCAAGCACGCTCCCCTGAGGCAGGCAGTCTCTGGTAAAAAAAGACCTTGCAAAACTACATCTCCCAGGATCTCCTAGCACTGAACCATAACAGCTCAAGTGGTGCCAAACTGCATCCATTCCAGAGTGTAGATACACCCTTGTTTTTTTTTTTTTTTTAAATCTCACGGATATATTTATAGTCCTATCAAAGCCCTTTATTATTTTTTTTCAAGGGTCATTCACAAGACAGGAAATGCCTGCTTTGGACTTTTCTGGGAACTGGCTGCAAAAACACCTCGGATGAACTGCGGAGACGGACTGTTTACGACGAACGCCGCCGGATTTCGGATGTCGCAGCAAAGAACATGAGCCCTCGGGGTTAAAAGTCGACTTTTTGCAATTGCAACACAAATGCCCGTTTGTGTTTCTGCTTGGGAGCAGATAAATGGGGGAAAATAAAGCGCTTTCTGACCTTCAGTAAATTGAGGATCTTTTTGCTGAGATCGAGTTCGAAGTTGGTATAATGGGACCCCGCCATGTCGTATATAAACACCAGACCGTTCCGTTGGGTTTCGAAGCTACGTGCAAAAGAGGAAAGGTTAGGAATTTGGAAAACGGAACGCCAAATTCACGAGCGATTCCCAGGGAAAATGGTCCTCAAACGCCATTCGGACTCACCTCTCCACGGCCCGGTCCAGCAAGTAGAAGAGCGCTTGGAGCACCACATGCTGGACACTCTTGTTGGGGTGGTGCAACTTGGCGGTGAAAAGGGCAATCGAGGCGCCAGACGGGTCTCGCACGCTCTGGAAAAGGAAGGAGAGATCAGCCAAAAAAGGGAAAGGAGAGGAGGAAGACAACCAACATTAACTCCGGCAAACATAATTAACAGTACAAAAGTCCTCTCCATTTTGGACTGTGGAAAAGTTAATGAAAGGGACAAAAACCCTCTCCAATTTGGACCATGGCAAACTTAATTAAAGGTACAAAGGCCCTCCCCGAATGTTGACCATGGCAAGCTTAATTAAAGGTACAAAAGTCCTCCCCGAATGTTGACCATGGAAGACTTAATTAAAGGTACAAAGGCCCTCTCCGAATGTTGACCAGAGCAAACTTAATTAAAAGTGCAAAAGCACTCTCTAAATGCTGACCACAGAAGACTTAATTAAAGGTACAAAGGCCCTCTCCGAATGTTGACCAGAGCAAACTTAATTAAAGGTGCAAAAGCACTCTCTAAATGCTGACCACAGAAGACTTAATTAAAGGTACAAAAGCCCTCTTTGAATGTTGACCAGAGCAAACTTAATTAAAGGTGCAAAAGCACTCTCTAAATGCTGACCACAGAAGACTTAATTAAAGGTACAAAAGCCCTCTCCGAATGTTGACCAGAGCAAACTTAATTAAAGGTGCAAAAGCACTCTCTAAATGCTGACCACAGAAGACTTAATTAAAGGTACAAAAGCCCTCTCCGAGTGTTGACCATGGCAAACTTGATTAAAAGTACAAAAGCCCTCTCCGAGTGTTGACCATGGCAAACTTGATTAAAGGTACAAAAGCCCTCTCCGAGTGTTGACCATGGCAAACTTGATTAAAAGTACAAAAGCCCTCTCCAAATGCTGACCATGCAAACTTAATTAAAGGTACAAAAGCCCTCTCCGAGTGTTGACCATGGAAGACTTAATTAAAGGTACAAAGGCCCTCTCCGAATGTTGACCATGGCAAACTTAATGAAAGGTGCAAAAGCCCTCTCCGAATATTGACTATGGCAAACTTAATGAAAGGTACAAAAGCCCTCTCTGAATGTTGACCATGGCAAACTTAAAGGTACAAAAGCCCTCTTCAAATATTGACCATGGCAAACTTAATTAAAGGTACCAAAGTCATCAGCAATGTTGAAAGACACCAAAGCCACCTCTAATGTTGACCATGGCAAACTTAATGAAAGGTGCAAAAGCCCTCCCCGAATGTTGACCATGGCAAACTTAATTAAAGGTACCAAAGCCCTCTCCAAGTGTTGACCATGGCAAACTTAATGAAAGACACCAAAGCCACCTCTAATGTTGAATATGGGAAACTTATTTAAAGGTGCAAAAGACCTCTCTGAATATTGACCATGGCAAACTTAATTAAAGGTACAAAAGCGCTCTCTAAATCCTGACCATGGAAGACTTAATTAAAGGTACAAAAGCCCACTCCAATGTTGGCCGTGTCAAACTTAATTAAAGGTACAAAGGCCCTCTCCAAATGTTGACCATGGCAAGCTTAATTAAAGGTACAAAAGCAACCTTCAATGTTTACCATGGTAAACTTAATTAAAGATACCAAAGCCACCTCTAGTGTTGACCATGGTAAACTTAATGAAAAACACCAAAACCACCTCCAATGTTGGCCATGGCAAACTTAATGAAAGGTATGAAAACCACCTCTAATGTTGACCATGGCAAACTTAATTAAAGGTACGAAAGCCAGTGATGACCATGGCAAACTTAATTAAAGGTGCAAAAGCACTCTCTAAATGCTGACCATAGCAAACTTAATTAAAGGTACAAAAGCCCTCTTCAAATGTTGACCATGGAAAACAATTAAAGGTATGAAAGTCACTTCCAGTGATGACCATGGCGAACTTAATTAAAGGTACCAAAGCCACCTCTAATGTTGACCGTGGCAAACTTAATTAAAGGTACAAAAGCCCTCTCCGGGTGTTGACCATGGAAGACTTAATTAAAGATACAAAGGTCCTCACCAAATGTTGACCATGGCAAACTTAATTAAAGCTACAAAAGCCCTGTCCAATTTTGATTCTGGAAGACTGAACTAAAGGTACCAAAGCGCTTTCAGTTTTGATTCTGACAAACCTAATTAAAGGTAACAAAGCCCACTACAGTTTTACCGGAAAATTTAATGAAAAGAACCAAAGCCCTTTCCAATGTTGCCCATGGCAAACTTAATTAAAGGCACCAAAGCGCTCTCCAGTTTTGAGCAGCCTGTAAGAGCCCAAGGCAATGCCTGACTCACCAGGATGGTGAACTTGCCGCTCAGCAGCTCCGATCGGAGGGGCTCCTCGTGGGGCTTCAACTTCACAATCCCTTCCTTCAGCCTGGTTTCCTGCGTGACAAGGGGACAGTTGTCATGCACCACGGAAAAACAAAAGGACGTACCAATGTGGTTTACTCCGGTCTTACAAATGGCCAGCTGGGGAATTCCCCGGCACCTTTCAGGAACGGGCCGCCCAGTCAAACTTGTCTAGCTAGCTTTTGTAAGAATGGACATAAATAATATCCACCAACAGTGAGAGACTTGTGTTGTCGAAGGCTTTCAGGGTCGGAATCACTATCTGGCCATGTTCCAGAAGCATTCTCTCCTGACGTTTCGCCCACATTTATGGCAGAGGTTGTGAGGTCTGTTGGACACTAGGAAAATTTTGCCCATGGCAGACTTAATTAAAGGTACAAAAGCCCGCTCTAAATATTGACCATGGCAAACTTAATAAAGGTGCAAAAGCCCCCTCCGAATGTTGACCATGGCAAACTTAATTAAAGGTACAAAAGCCCTCTCCAAATGTTGACCCTGGCAAACTTAATTAAAGGCACAAAAGCCCTCTCTAAATATTGACCATGGCAAACTTAATTAAAGGTCCAAAAGCCCTCTCCAAATATTGACCATGGCAAACTTAATTAAAGGTATAAAAGCCCTCTCCAAGTGTTGACCATGGCAAACTTAATTAAAGGCACAAAAGCCCTCTCCAAATGTTGACCCTGGCAAACTTAATTAAAGGCACAAAAGCCCTCTCTAAATATTGACCATGGCAAACTTAATTAAAGGTATAAAAGCCCTCTCCAAGTGTTGACCATGGCAAACTTACTTAAAGGTACAAAAGCCCTCTCTAAATATTGACCATGACAAACTTAATTAAAGGTACAAAAGCCCTTTCCAAGTGTTCACAATGGCAAACTTAATTAAAGGTACAAAAACCCTCTCTAAATATTGACCATGGCAAACTTAATTAAAGGTACAAAAGCCCTCTCCGAGTGTTGACCATGTCAAACTTAATTAAAGGTACAAAAGCCCTCTCTGAATAGTGACCATGTCAAACTTAATTAAAGGTACAAAAGCCCTCTCAGAGTGTTGACCATGGCAAACTTAATTAAAGGTACAAAAGCCCTCTCCGAGTGTTGACCATGTCAAACTTAATTAAAGGTACAAAAGCCCTCTCTGAATAGTGACCATGTCAAACTTAATTAAAGGTACAAAAGCCCTCTCAGAGTGTTGACCATGGCAAACTTAATTAAAGATAAGAAAGCCACCTTCAATGTTGACCGTGGCAAGTTTAATTAAAGATACAAAAGCAACCTCCAATATTGACCATGGCAAACTTAATTAAAGGTACAAAAGCCCTCTCTAAATTATATATCTGTAGAATGATGTCCAGGGTGGGAGGAAGAACTCTTGTCTGCTAGAGGCTAGTGTGAATGTTGTAATTGGCCAGTTTGATTAGCACTGAATGGCCTTGCAGCTTCAAAGCATGGCTGATTGCTGCCTGGGGGGGGGGCTTTGTTTGGAGGAGTTGCCTCCAACTTCTCCTACCCTGGACATTCCACAGATATACAAACCTCACTTGTCTAGTATCCAACCTTTGAGGATGTCTGCCATAGATGTGGGCGAAACGTCAGGAGAGAATGCTTCCGGAACATGGCCAGACAGATCGGAAAACTCACAGCAACCCAGTGAGAGCCTAACTTGGGAACGATGCGCCCGCTTTGCACGCCACGCTTACCCGATAGGAGTGGAAAAGCTCGATCGCTCGGAGGACGTCGAACTTCCTGGCCATGAGGAACTTGACGGCCACGTTCCAGGAGAGCGGAGAGACATTGTATTGGACCGTCCACTTGTTGATCTCTTCCAAAAACTGCTTGGTGGCCTTGTTTAGGAAAAGAAGGAAAAGGGAATGGGGGGGGGGGGGGGGGGAAGAAGGAGAAGGTGATATAGCGCTTGTTCAAGATCCCCATCTTTGCACAACTTAAGATGATATGATGGGATTTGAAGCAGCTCACAATTGTATAAACAAGGATTGAATGAAAAGTAATGCCTCCACCTTCGTAACTCCTCAACAGATGGCAGCACTGGTATGTGGCAGGTACTGGCTTGTTCAGTAGACTCTCCTCTACAGTTCCATTTTGACGGGAAGCCTTAGCATTGAAAGGTTGTGTTGTTAAAGTGTGAAGTATGGAACCCTGCGCAGACGGTCGGTCAATGCGACTTAAGCAATGTATGCGGCAGGTACTGGCTTGTTTAGTAGACTCTCCTCTACAGTTCCATTTTGGTGGGAAGCCTAAGCATTGAACGGTTGTGTTGTTAAAGTGCGAGGTATGGAACCCTGCTCAGATGGTCGGTCAATGCGACTTAAGCAACGTGCAGTCATTGAATTTTTGACTGCAGAAGGTGTCACCTCAACATCTTTAAACTTACCCGCCCAACGATACACATTACCCACATCAACACAATCACCATAAACAGTTTGCATTCTCTGATGAATCTCCTTTGGGGTGACAGAAAGAAAGAAAGAAAGAAAAAGAAAGAAAGAAAGAAAGAAAGAAAGAAGGAAGGAAAGAAGGAGGGAGGGAAAGAGGGAGGGAAGGATGGAACCAAAGAGCATTAGAAGGAAGGAAACAGGTAGAGAAGGAAGAAAGGAGAGAAAGAAGGAGGGGGGAAAAGGGGGAAGGAAGGAAAAAAGGGAGGGAAGGAGAGAGAGAGAGAAAGAAAAAAAGAGGGAAGGAAGGAAAGAGAAAAGGAAGGATGGAACTAAAGAGCATTGGAAAGAAGGAAAGAAACAGGTAGAGAAGGAAGAAAGGAGAGAAAGAGGGAGGGAAAGAATAAGGGGGAAGAAAGGAAAGAGGGAGGGAAGGAGAGAAAGAAAGAAAGAAAGAAGGAAGGAAGGAAGGAAAAAGAAAAGGAAGGATGGAACTAAAGAGATTGGAAGGAAGGAAGGAAAGAGGTAGAAAAGAAAGGAGAGAAAGGGGGAGGGAAAGAAAAAGGGGGAAGGAAGGAAAGAGGGATGAAAGGAGAGAAAGAAAGATGGAAGGAAGGAAAGAGAAAAGGAAGGATGGAACCAAAGAGCATTGGAAGGAAGGAAAGAAAGAGGGAGGGAAAGGAAAAGGAGGGAGGGAGGGAAGGAAGGAGAGAAAGAAAGAAAGAAAGAAAGAAAGAAAGAAAGAAAGAAAGAGGGAGGGAGGGAAGGAAGAAAAGAGAGAAGGAAGGATGGAACTAAAGAGCAAAGGAAGGCAGGAAAGAAAGAAAGAGAAGGAAGGAGAGAAAGAGGGAGGGAAAGGAAAAGGGGGAAGGAAGGAAAGAGGGACAGAAGGAGAGAGAGAAAGAGAAGGAAGAAAGAAAGAAAGAAAGAAAGAAAGAAAGAGGGAAGGAAGGAAGGAAAGAGAAAAGGAAGGATGGAACTAAACAGCATTGTAAGGAAGGAAAGAAAGAGGTAGAGAAGGAAGAAAGGAGAGAAAGGGGGAGGGAAAGAAAAAGGGGGAAGGAAGGAAAGAGGGATGAAAGGAGAGAAAGAAAGATGGAAGGAAGGAAAGAGAAAAGGAAGGATGGAACCAAAGAGCATTGGAAGGAAGGAAAGAAAGAGGTAGAGAATGAAGGAGAGAAAGAGGGAGGGAAAGGAAAAGGAGGGAGGGAGGAGGAAAGGAAGGAGAGAAAGAAAGAAAGAAAGAAAGAAAGAAAGAAAGAAAGAGGGAGGGAAGGAAGAAAAGAGAGAAGGAAGGATGGAACTAAAGAGCAAAGGAAGGCAGGAAAGAAAGAAAGAGAAGGAAGGAGAGAAAGAGGGAGGGAAAGGAAAAGGGGGAAGGAAGGAAAGAGGGAAGAAGGAGAGAAGAAAGAAAGAAAGAAAGAAATAAAGAGGGAAGGAAGGAAGAGAAAAGGAGGAGAAAGGGAAGAAGGAAGGAGAGAAAGAGGGAGGGAAAGGAAAAGGGGAAAGAAGGAAGGATAAAAACACTGAAAAACACAGCAGAAGGGACTTAAAAGCCCCAAAATGCTAGATGACAAAAAGCTAAACGATAATACAGAAAAAAGGGAAGAAAGAGGGAGGGAAGAAAGAAAGAAAGAAAGAAAGAAAGAAAGAAAGAAAGAAAGAAAGAAAGAAAGAAAGAAAGAAAGAAAGAAAAGAAAGAGGGAGGGAGGGAGGGAGGGAGGGAAGGAAAGAGAAAAGGAAGGATGGAACCAAAGAGCATTGAAAGGAAGAAAAGAAAGAAGTAGAGAAGGAAGGAGAGAAAGAGGGAGGGAAAGGAAAAGGGGGAAGGAAGGAAGGAAGGAAGGAAGGAAGGAAGGAAGGAAGGAAGGAAGGAAGGAAGGAAGGAAGAGTGAAGGAAGGGGGAAGATGCAGAGAAAGGGGGAGGGAAAGAAAGAGAGAAGAAAAGAGAGACAGCAGAAGAGAAAGAAAAAGGAGGAAGAAAGGAAAAAGATAGAGAAGGAAGGAAGAAGAGAAGGAAAGACAGGAAGGAAGGAAAGAAGGAGTGAAGGAAGGAGGGAAAGAAGGGGGAAGGTTGGCTACAGCAAAGTGTGGCGGGTACAGCGTGCTACGGTGGAATGGGAGAGAGTGTGTGTTGGGGGGGGACGGCGGGGAAGGAAAGACACAACACTGGGCCGAAGGGAAAAGGCGAAAAGTGCACCGATGAGGGTGAAGGAAAGAGAAAAGGAAGGATGGAGCCATGAAAGGAAGAAAAGAAAGAAGTAGAGAAGGAAGGAGAGAAAGAGGGAGGGAAAGGAAAAGGGGGAAGGAAGGAAGGAAGGAAGTAGAGAGAGAGAAAGAAAGAAAGGAAGAGAGAGAGAGAAAGAGAGGGAGGGAAGGAAAGAAGGAAAGAGAAAGGAAGGAGGAAAGAGAAAGGAAAGGAAAGAAAGAGAGAGAGAAGAAAGGAAGAAAGAAAAGGGGAAGGAAGGAAAGAAGGAAAGAGGTAGAAAGTAAGAAAGGAGAGAAAGGGGAGGGAAAGAAAAAGGGGGAAGGAAGGAAGGGATGAAAGGAGAGAAAGAAAGAAAGAGGAAAGAAAGAAGGAAAGAGAGAAAGGGGGAGGGAAAGAATAAGGGGAAGGAAGGAAAGAGGGATGGAAGGAGGGAAAGAAAGAAAGGAAGGAAGGAAGGAAAGAGAGAAGGAAGGATGGAACCAAAGAGCATTGGAAGGAAGGAAAGAAAGAGGTAGAGAAGGAAGGAGAGAAAGAGGGAGGGAAAGGAAAAGGGGGAAGGAAGGAAGGAAGGAAGGAAGGAAGGAAGGAAGGAAGGAAGGAAGGAAGGAAGGAAGGAAGGAGAGAAAGAAAGGAAGGAAGAGAGAGAGAGAAAAAGAGAGGGAGGGAAGGAAAGAAGGAAAGAGAGAAGGAAGGATGGAACTAAAGAGCAAAGGAAGGCAGGAAAGAAAGAGATAGAGAAGGAAGAAAGGAGAGAAAGAAAAAGGGGGAAGGAAGGAAAGAAGGAGATAAAAAAAGGAGCGAAAGAGAGAGGGAAGGTTGACGACAGCAACACATGACGGGTACAGCTAGTAAATAAATAATAGAATTTTCCCCCCATTGCCACGACTCAATGGGATTTATAGTTTGGCGAAGCACCATCACTCTTTGGCAACGAAGTCTAAAGACCTTATAAAACTGTAACTCCCAGGATTCTATAGTATCGACCCATGGTAGTTTAAACTTTTGGACCGTTGCAGGTCTCTTCCAGGAAAATCAGAGGAACGGGATTGCAATGCCTTTCAGGCCGCTTGAGTCCTTCTGGGCTTTGAAAGGACAAACATATTTCAGGAATGACTCATGGAAAACAAGCCGGGTTTGGACTCCCTTTGCAACAAACTTCTCTTTGGCAAAGGGAGATCCAATCAAGGACTCAAATTCTGGCGTTGTAGTTTACCTACGACCAGAGAGCACTGTGGACTCAAACAACGATAGATCCAGACCAAACCTGGCACGGATACTCATATGCTGAAATGTGGACACTGGTGGAGTTTGGGGAAAACAGACCTTGACATTTGGGAGTTGTAGTTGATGGGATTTATAGTTCATCTACAATCAAAGAGCATTCTGAACTACACCAATGATGGAATAGAACCAGACTTTGCACACGGAACACTGATGACCAATTGAAAATACTGGAAGGATTTGGTGGGCATTGACCTTGAGTTTGGGAGTTGTAGTTCACCTACATCCAGAGAGCACTGTGGACTCAAACAATTATAATTCTGGACCAAACTTGGCATGGATACTCAATATGCCCAAATGTGAACACCGGTGGAGATTGGGGAAAATAGACCTTGACGTTTGGGAGTTGTAGTTGAGATTTATAGTTCGCCTACAATCAAAGCCCATTCTGATCTCCACCAATGGAATGGAACCAAACTTGGTACACAGAATTCCCATGACCAACTGAAAATACTGGAAGGGTTTGGTGGGCATTGACCTTGTGTTTGGGAGTTGTAGTTCACCTACATCCAGAGAGCAATGTGGACTGAAAATGATGGATCTGGACCGAACTCGGCACGGATACTCAATATTCCCGAATGTGAACACTGGTAGGATTTGGGGAAAATAGAGCTTGATATTTGGGGGTTGTATTTGCTGGGATTTGTAGTTCAGAGCATTCTGAATTCCACCAATGATGGAATTGAATGAAACTTGGCACACAGGAATCCCATGACCAACTGAAAATACTGGAAGGGTTTGGTGGGCATTGACCTTGAGTTTCGGAGTTGTAGTTGCTGGGATTTATAGTTCACCTACAATCAAAGAGCATTCTGAACCTCACGAATGATAGAATTGGGCCAAATTTGGCACACAGAACCTCCTTGCGTTGAAGTGACTCACTGGCGCGACCCTTCCTCCAGCGTCGCACGCTCTCCCTTGCCCGCACATGCGCACCACACTGCCATGAGCCAAGCACAAC